AATCCGTACGGATTAGTCCTCAAATTCGAGCCCTGCTTAAGTATGATGTTTTTTGACTTAGTATCCTACTTACTTAAGATATTGTTTGGTTCTCAAATGGGTCTCTAGACTCTCTAGTCTATTCACCATTTAGCATTCATTGGCAATTTCTAATAATTTCTAGTCATTTGACCTATTACTGTTATTTTAATTATGCGCTTAAAGTTATTTTGTTAAATAAATTTGAGAAAAAAGAAAGAATGTAATAGTTGGTTAAGTTTTTATTGCAAAATAATAAAAATATAAAAAATAAGATAACATTTCAATATTTTGGGAATCGAATCGAGAGGCTAATATCGAGATACGGATCGAATCGAATCGAGAGGCTTGTGTATCGTTACAGCCCTACTATTAATGTTGCGACAACAATGGTAGGTACCGTTACAATTATGTTGAAATTGTTTAGAGCTAAAGACTAAATCGGTCACGCTAGGGTTTACTACCTAAGACAGAGGGCGGTAATAAATTACACACAACTAATCAATACTAGAACTTCTATTAATTTATCGACTTCACAACGCTGCAGTCTCACCTGTGAGACATTCTTAATGATGACTAGCGTGAGCCACTATCTAAATTAACTAATCGCACCGTACACAACCGCATAGGCAAACGACTAAACGGTAATTATACCTGCAACGACTCGACGGACTTGTTGCGACGCCTGAAGTCGACCGCGATGCCGATGGTAGGTGCAACCCTCTTGCTTATTCCAGCAGCCTTCAGCTCCTCCAGCGAGAAACCGCGGCCAGCTCGCATCTGCAACAATAGGCAACATTAGTTGTGGCCGTGGCGACGGGACCGACCGGTTCAGTGTGGCATCCGTGATCGTGAGATGTCAGGGGCAATGCTACGATCTTGCTGCCGTTTCTGCTGCAGAAGAATATGTTGGAGCTAGTCTGCCTGTTGCACCTGCTGTCTATGTTTACTTCTGGTCACGAAAACTAAATCATCAATTTAAGTGTGACAGTGCACACGTTTCCATATGTACTGTTACTCTATAACTGGACCGAGCCAGATTCCTGGAGTGGGTTTCCACTGATGTGGATTTAAACCCTTGAGTCCAGTATAAAATAAAGAAACCGAAAACAACAACAACAACAACAACTCTAAAGCCAAAATCTGGTACAAACTTGCAGCTGCAAGTGTGCTGCTATCGACCACCTTTAATTTTGCACCACCTACAGCTTTGTTTTCGTAACAGCAAAAAATGCTAAATGAGGTTTTTAGAGCACTTGCATCTGTAAGGCCAAGCGTTTTTTCCAAGCACATTTTTCGAATGATAAGGAACTGGCTGAATCAAAATTTTATAGGGGTTATTGCAGGGGCGGATTCAGACCGTATATGCCGTATTGGGAAACACGGTCTAGATTTCAAAGTGCCCTTCGAAATTTTGCGCTAAAAAATACAGAAAACAATTTGATGGAATTTGGCTATATTCTTTATTTGTTTTCTTTTTCTTCTGATTCATTGACAAGACTTGAAGGAAATCAAAATTTTACATGGTAACAAAACTAGCTTTGATATCTGAGAAAGAAGGGAAGTGCTTAAATCATTCTGCATTAATTGCTGGTATGCAAAGCGCAGGCAAAATGAAGCAGAAATAAAATTCCATATGGTTTTTAGCTATTGCTGCTTGACTAAATGTGTGCTTAAATGGTGCTCATTTTTGTGCCCAGGGACCCTTGAAATTTCCTTGAAATTTTGAAATTTTCTGGGGGAGGCCACCCAGACCCCCCGCCATGTGCTTCCGCGCCTAACGACGCCCACTGTGGGGTGGTGTGCCCTTTTTGGGAGATGTGCCCTTCTGAAAATCTGGAAAAATACTGTCTAGCTTCAGCCCTGGATCCGCCCCTGTATTGTGTTCTAGCAGCCACGCATGCAAACACTACACACCCTTGTGTTGTAACGGAAGGTCGGACACCGTACAGCTGGTCGTAGAGAGCCAATTGGTCTGGGAGCGACTGTGCGTGCTTTCTTCACACGGCTTGTGTGTCTCCGCTGCTTGCGAGCGGGTTGGTTGAACCAGGTCTTTACATACCTATGTGCATTCAGAAAAGGCATTAAAAGAAACATTACATATAATGTAGATGTCTCTAGTACAAGTGAAATTTTTTTCAGGGCCTTGACTTTTATAAACACTGACCGGGCAAATAACAGGTGGTTCTCGTTCAAACAGCCACCCGGCCGAATAAAGTTTTACATATTATTTGCGAGCTGACCGAGAAGATAACAACTGCCACCCTTCCCTCCCACCCATTATATACTGTGTTTAAGTGCAGTAACAAAGTATGTTGTACTATAGATCATCATTTTAGCTGAGCCCAACTTAAATTTTTAGAAAGATTAGCATACCTAAATATTAAAACTAGTAGGAAATGTAAACCATATTAATTTTCTAGCATTTTAAATAATTGGCACGACCCAAGACCAAGTGCTGATAACACAACTTCACAAGATAAACATTACGCAGTAGCTACGCGTCCGGAACCGGCCGCCTAGCCTCCAGGCTACGCATCCGGACATCCACTCACACAGTGATCGCGCGACTCTGGTGCACGCATGATTGCGCAACGGGACGCTCTGCTGATTGCCGAAAATATACAATATATGCACTGCTGCCGTCTATCCTTTCGTCCGTCCTATCTCGCTCTCTCTCTCAATCTCTCACACGCACGCACATCTCTCTCTCTCTCTCTCACATACACGCACAGCTCTCTATTTCTCTCTCACACCCACGCACGCACGCACGCACGCACGCCCGCCAGCACGCACACACACACACACACACACGCCTGCACACACCTCTAGCTCTCTCTCTCACACACACTTACACACACACATACACATTCCCTCTCTCTCTCTCTCTCACATGCATACACACACACATACACATTCCCTCTCTCGCTCTCTCTCTCTCACACACACACACACACACACATACTCGGCAACCAGCAGAGCGCCCCGTTGCGCAATCACGCGTGCGTGTCGCAAGATCACTGTGTGAGATGGATGTCCGGACGCGTAGCCTAGCGGCTCCTCGTCCGGAACCGGTCGGGTAGCCACGGCCTAAACATTAACATACTTACATGATAGGGCCTAGAGTCTTACTTTCTCTAGACTTAGTTACTACTATAACTATTAAGTATAATAACACGCGGAAATAGCGTTACGAATATATTATTTGCAATACAAAATGCTGATGTAAAAAACTACAATCTAACAATTTAAATATGCTTATTTGACGTAAATTTAATACCGAATAATGCCATACCACACTTCCAGCTCCACGCAATTTCAAGTTGCACGTGTAATCAGAATTGATCGCTCAATTCCTATTCTAATTCTAGCACTAATAAATGGAAGGTACCCCATTCATTCGCATTAATAAACGTTCACGTAACACACATACCGCTGCCAGTCCTTGTGGAAATGCCCATTGCATATAATATTATTCCTTTTGAGAGGCATGTTGAAGTTTATGTTGGTCGACAAATGGCCGACAACGAAAAGGACTGCACCGGAAACGCCGGAAGTTAACTGCGAGTTTCTGCGCAGCCAAAGTACGGGTCATTGCGCATATTGACCCTATGTTGATTTAGAACTTCACTTTCTTTCCCGTTTTAGTGCCGAGTAACAAATTTTGAGGCGGAGTCCTCAAATTCACGGCGGATTTTAATCCAGCGATGAACCTTGATGGATGCGCGCACCTGAGAAGCTTCAAGACACGAAAAGGGACCGAACCGTTTCGTATTGTGCATTCCTATTTTATCATCGCTGCTTCCCAAGAGGCGAGAAAGAGAAAGGTGTGTACGACTGAACAAAATCGTACCAATAAATTGAATAATATATGTATATTTGTATCAAATAATGAATATATCTATTTACGTTTGTCTACGAACCAATTTTAAGTGTTATGGAGTATGTGCGTAGGATTTGCGCCTTTTAATTCGTGGCTAAAGCCAATGCATTACGTTTCATTGAGGATACAAAGCCAGTGTTATGAATGGACATAAGATGAGTCTAATGAACTTTAAGCGACCCTATTGATTGTTTATTTTTTGCTTACAGGCAAATTCGTGTTACTGTCATATGTGTAAGCAACATAGGCCGAGGCTACATGCCTGTCTACACTGTGTATTCTTTGGATGTCATGGGGCCAGACACATCCACGAGCATGCCCGTGTTAAACAACACAACTTGGGTTTGTATTCATTTGAATTCATTCTATTACGGATTCCACACTGCTGATTCAGTGATTGCTGAAACTAACGGCTAACGTATTCACGTTGTTTCAGAGAAACGGGTAGCTTCAAGCGTCATCAATTAAATTATTTTTAGCTTTATACAATCAAGTCATTGTCAACTGTGTTGTGCTGTAGTTACACATTGTGCCTGTTTGCAGCCGTGGACCTGTCCTATGGAGCTGTGATGTGTTTCTCCTGTGGTGATTACGTATACGATCGCGAGCTTGAGACCATAGCAAGAGACCAGAGACGCAAAGCTGCAAAAAATGGCCGTAAGTTACAATGAAATTGCTCGCATTGCTGACAAAGTGTCAGATATTGCACATCGTCAAGGAGCAGTGCATCCCTCTTGGTTAATTAATGAAGAGGTTATAATAACAGTCGCAAGAAGTAACTTAACGGTTTTTGATATTTGTAGCTTAAACCTCATCCGAATAAAGAATGCAGGGGTTATACAAAAATTTGTTTGTAAAAATTGAGCAATATATATGTATAATAGCTCACATGCAATCTAACTTATATCTGATCTTTTGCAGAAGTGAAGGAGCTATGCTGTCCATGGGACCCAACGTCTGCAGAGATAGAACTTCTCCAACGGAATCCAAAACGGAGAAAAATCACAGAAAGTTCCACAATAGGTTAGTTGCAAAATATTTTGTGTGTGTAATTTTTGCATTCGGGACTTTTCGGGTGCAGTGGAATTGTTCTAAAATTGTAAATAATAACATTAAATTTTGTTGATTTTTTTTAGGATATAAATATTCCACTATCAAATACCAAGTTAGAAAATTACATTTATAGTTCTTCTGTAGTAATTCGATGAAATTCTGGTGGATCGCAAATGTATGGGCATAGACGCATATCTGCCTTTGTGATACAGACAAGGGAATGAAGGAGAGCAGCCGATTCGCCTAACGTAACCCAAATCATGTGTGTGCACGATTTTCCCATGGAACCGTCGATGGCAGTTGCTCGTGCAAAGACGGCGTGCCAGTATTAGCGTGCGCTAGGTTGTCTCAATCCACGAGATTGCACTGTTCTCAATTTCTCCGTGTGCTGTTGTCTAACTCTGCGAGAACTGACCGCTTGTTTTCCTCCAGGTCTACGAGGGCTCATCAACTTAGGAAATACATGCTTCATGAACTGCATCGTTCAGGCGCTGACGCACACACCGTTGCTACGCGACTACTTCTTAGCGGATCGGCACAACTGTCAGATGGAGGACAATGCCAACATGTGTCTAGTGTGCGAGCTTTCCAGGTTATTTCAAGAGGTACGTGCAGGAAGAGCAGTGCGCAATTCGTAGCACGTTTTACGTAATTTTTCATGCAAAACGCATTTATTATTTCTGACAATTATGAAAAATTTCCTGCCAAAATGGAGTATGGTAAGCTGCTAGCTTTTTTCGCAGGAATCTTCAGTGCATTCTGGTAGGAGGGATTGTAAAAATATAAAAAAAAGCTGCCGATGTCAGCCGCAATACATGGATGCAGGTTGCACGTAAATATCGATGTGTTTGATCTGAATTTCGGTTAGATTCCTCGACATAAACTGCGGTTATAAGTGACGTACCTGGTTTTTCAGTTCTACTCAGGAGTGCGGGTACCTCACATCCCCTTCAGGCTGCTACATCTCGTATGGACGCACGCACGCCACCTAGCGGGTTATGAGCAGCAGGACGCTCACGAATTCTTCATCGCAGCTCTAGACGTAATTCACAGGCATTGCAAGGGTGCGTGTGTGTGTGTATGTGCAGACTTGTGCAGGAGTCAAAACTGAGAAAACGTCGGTACTTTTCTTTCCGGAAAAATTAACGGCTTTTCCGTTAATGTTTTTAGGGTTTCTGTGTGAAGTTTCCAGCAAGATACGTTTTATAGCTGCAGCTTCATATACTTTCTCGCACTAGCGGGGTACCTTAAGAAAGTGCAAAAGTGCCTCTGTGTTAATTTCGACCCACGTGTGTGCATGTTGTTATGTTGTATGTGTCTGATTGTGCATTAGGCCAAAACAAAATATGTGTGGTTACCGTTACATGCCGGAAAAAAATAGGGTAGGTAGGTAGGTGTAACGAAGTAGTTTCGCTCATCATATACGTGTACTCTCATGTGTGGCTCGTGTCATATAGTTTACGCCCAATAACCTAGGTTCTGCTATGGTGCGGGTAATTATGTACCTTGAGGTAATCACAAGGTAGACACACAAAATGTACGTACAACAATATATCTATTTAATTCTTACACAATCTTACAGAGACAAGTTATTAGTTACATACGTAATGCAATATCTCAAAAGAGTTTACACACGCAAAGTTAATACAAGTACCAGTCTTATAAGGAGTTTTAAGACATACGTTTTAAGACGCATACTGTAACACGAATACGGTAAGACCTATTTATACTTACATACCAAGAGAGAGAGAGAGAGAGAGAGACTCGGAGAGCCCGGTTGGTTCTCTCCTCTCTGATTCTCTGTTAGAAAAGCTTGCTATTTATACAATTCTGGCCGTGTCACGTGGTTTTAGTAGTGCTACGCATTAAAACCTTCCAGGTTAATGAGTCTACGAAACAAGGCTATGCCTTGGTCCGAAAATGGCTACTGTCTTCCTTTTAACGAGAGGGGGAGGGTGTCTTTTGTTCTACCTGGAATTTCGTACTTGGCGGTACCAGTATCAAACTGCCTATAACGAGGCGAGTGACCAAAAGTGCCTGAGGCGTGTCCCTGCGTACGGATCTTAGCCTCGAAATAGACGTGGTCAAGAACCGTGCCTGCCCTGCGGCGTCGCTCTATATCGTAATGACTTTAGCTTCATTACATAGGGAAATAGTCGGTTTGCCGGCCCTATATCTCCTATATGTTGACCCTGCAATGTTAATTACTTTGAACTTTTTTTATGGAAATGTGTTCTATATAGTTAGGAGAGCTGATTTAGCTTGGTTGCTACCTGTGCAACGTTAGCATTTCTTGGAATTCAAGATGGCCGCCGCCGTCGATCTTGGATTTTGGTCAATTTACAATTTGTGATCTCGATGCCCTAGAGTGTCATGCAATACCTCTTTTTAGGGGTTTTCGAGGGCAGGGAGTCCATTTCTTAAAACATTTTATTTTCTTGAAATATTTTATTTACGAACCATGTCCGAAGGATGTGCGTTGTGCCTTTTGAAGCAGGAACTGTCCAATTCATTTTTTTTTCATTTTTTTTTCTTTTTTTTTTACTTTAAATAAAATTGACAATAAAATGTTTAGGGTCGCTGGGAATAAATTGGGTTGGTCGGGAAACCGTAACCACACTTATATTTTGTTTTGGCCTTAGGACTGTCATCGATACCAACACCATCAATGTATTGTGATGGATTTCCATGCGATATCGATATCGAAAAAATTATAGAATAGCTATCCGATACACTAAAACAGTATTAATAAAAAACCGTTTTGGTGTAGTGTTGTTACCTTACACCTCATGGGTTATTCTACTGAAATATGGGAGGGTATTCGTTTCGAGAAACACGTTTGCCATTCTTTCCTAGACTGCGTCATTCCACGTATTTTGAACTTCACACAGCTTGAGGGCCCCGTGCTGTACGTTTTATGACCTGCTATAGTATCGCATATTTCCCCGGATAGCCGGGCGTGAAAGCTGCCGGATTTAATTGCTTTCCTAGCTAGCCATCTGTCAAGCTTCTTGAGTCGGTTGCTTGGTTTCACGCGGAGTATATCCTGTAATATCCTATTTTGCTGCAGGTCAGAATAGTGAGTCGGAGACTAACCCTCATCACTGCAATTGCATCATTGACCAAATATTTACCGGAGGCCTGCAGTCAGACGTCACCTGTCAACACTGCAGGTAGGAGGATCACGGCAGGGTCTTCTTGCTTTGAATGCAGGGCATACAGTGCAGTCAATCAGATACGTATGATCAGTATACCTTCGCTTAAACAGGAAAGAGCTCTGGCAATGTCTGAGCTGATGAGAGTAGTGACTGAGCCATAGTCTGTGATGTTGCAATAACAGTTACAGTTTAATCGACCATGTTGTGGGTATGAGAGAGAGAGAGAGAGAGAGAGAGAGAGAGAGAGAGACTGACAGATAGACAGAGGAAGACAAGGACAGTGAGAGAGAGATAGAGCTTCCTTCCATTCGTGGGGAGAAAATAACTGTGCTATCCTTGGTCCTAGTGAACCTTTGTCGTAAAACGGAACGGCAGCAGTGTGTCTAAAGCACGCATGGCCAAACCAATGTTAGTGGACACCTCTGTGGGCACCTTTCCATAAAGGACACTTTTAGGGGGGATCCCTTGAATGACCCTTATATACAGGTTTTACTCTAGCGAAGCACCGCTCTCACCTCCACGTTTGCGCGACGTTCTTTTGTTTCTAGGTGCGTGTCGACAACAATAGACCCGTTTTGGGACATCTCGCTTGACTTGGGGAGCGACGACGCGAGAAACAACAACAACGACACAGTGAACAGAGGGACGTCGTCGGGAAAACTCAATGGCTGTGATAACCATCCCGAATCCACGACGCTCACGGACTGTCTGAAGAGGTAGGGTGCGACGAAGCGAGCGGCGGGATGAGCTAAGTTAAGAAGAGGGAGAAGGAAGAGAAGGCAGCAGAAAGGTGAAGAAGAAAGAAACGGTGGATGAGCTAAGTTGAGAGGAGGGCAAAGGAAGAGCAGGTAGCAGAAAGGTGAAGAAAGGAAGAAGAGTAGGATAAAGTAGATGACTGTCTGTAGAGATGGGATGCGGTGAAGTAAGTGGTGGCATGAGCTAAATTAAGAAGAGGGAGAAGGAAGAGAAGGTAGCAGGAAGGTGAAGAAAGAAAGAAACGGTGGATGAGCTGAATTAAGAAGAGGGAGCAGGAAGGTGAAGAAAGAAAGAAGAGTAGGACACAATAGATGACTGTCTAAAGAGATTGGATGCAGTGGAGGAAGCGATGAATGAGCTAAACTAAGAGGAGGGCAAAGGAAGAGGTAGAAGGAAGGTGAGAGGGGAGAAGAAAGACTAGGACATGGTGGAGCGAAGGTGGATTAAGTAGGGGAGCAGGACAAGAAGGTGAGAGGGGAGAAGAAAGACTAGGACATGGTGGAGCGAAGGTGGATTAAGTAGGGGAGCAGGACAACCGCCGCGATTTAACATTTTCCCTCAGAAGGAAACTTCCGTGAGGATGTCTTTGGGAACGCGACGATGTAGTACGTGAATCAGCCGCGTGCCTTTGTTCGCAGGTTCACACGAGCGGAACATTTGGGCAGCTCCGCGAAGATAAAGTGCAACGCTTGCCAGATCAATCGGGAGTCGACGAAGCAGCTCACAATGAAGAAGCTGCCCCTGGTGGCGTGCTTTCATCTGAAGGTGCGCGATGATGCCTGATGTGACTACTGCTTCGTATTGGGCTCGGGTTGTGTTGGTGTTGGGTGTATCGGTTGTGCGCAGCCATCCGTTGAAGGTTGCTGAATTTCATTGATGGTAAATCTTCTGAAGGTAGCGTTTTAATGTTGTGCGTAATAATTTCTTGGGCAAATGTTGACCTGCAGTGTGTGCATAATTATAGTCCTAGCCACATAATTAGTCCGAGTCCTATCTTTCAGAATCAGAACAGTCCCAACTCCGTTTCATTAAATCTGTTGCCGTGTGACTAAGTTAAGATTATGGTTAATTAATTGCAGTGACATGACATGTTTAGTACTAGTGCACTCGTACGTGCATGTGTGTGCATGCATTTGTGCATGCCTGCTTGCTCGCGTGTGTGCGTGTACGTTCATGTGTGCTTCTGTGTATAGTGTGCAATGTTGGTTACTTGCAGAGATTTGAGCACTCCACAAGATACCACAAGAAGATCTCCACGTACGTTTCCTTCCCACAGTATCTAGACATGACGTCCTTCATGTCCTCTCGACGAAATGACAACGGATACATCAATGGCACAATAGCAGAGATAAATAGTGATAACAAGTAAGTATTGATGTGATATTGTGTTTTATGTTAGACGTATTGGAGCCTGGTTGTGCACTACAGGGATAATTCTACTGGACCAGCTTCAAAGGCTTCTGTAAAAATAATTGCCCACGTGATGGCAAGGAAATAGATTTTTTTCATGTAAATACCTCCGCGCGTATCTCCTATAGTTGTGCACGCACGTGTCGAGCATAACATTACGTATCTCTCGAGTAGGTACGCCCTGTTTGCGGTGGTCAACCACCTGGGCACTATCGAGTCGGGCCACTACACCTGTTACATCAGACAGCACAAGGACCAGTGGTTCAAATGTGACGACGCGCTCATCAGCAAAGCAACCCTGCAGCAAGTGTTGGACAGTGAGGGGTGAGTTCTCGCTGGCAGCTGTCGCGTGCCACCCTCGTTGGTGTATTGGTCTTCGAAAGAGTAGCCGCATGCCTTTTTTTGGCGACGCTGTTCACCAATAAGTGAAGATTGTCTTTTAATTTGTAATCATTCGTGGTGCAGTCCACCTGATGGGTTGATGGGCGGAGGTAACTCTGCAGAGGTAGAACAGTATGTCTCGAGGGGCATTCACGTGACGATAAACGATCGTGTGGATTAGTGTCTTGCGTTTGACGATGTTATTTATCACATAGCTTAATGTAAACATGGAGGCCCCACCACACACGTTGCTATACCCCAGAAGATTTTTTTTTAAATTTTTCATGAAAGTGAAACCATGAAGTGATTATTCCTTTATTTCCTATTACAGCTTTACCAGTGGTGTCTTTTTTTGTCGCTTGCAGCTATCTCTTGTTCTACCACAAGCAGTTTCTGGAGTACGAGTAGCAGAGACACCTGGTGGCTGGGGAACGGAGGAATACACCGTGAACCGGACCCAAATCACATGCGGACCTCAGCAACTGGCTAATAGTGAACGCGGTTTCACTAAAACACAAACTAGTCAGACGGTAGCTGTTTTTTAGCTAAATGTTGGCCGCATCGCTAGTGTAGGAAAAACAGAAAACACCAACAGAAAAGAACGTGTCTGTCTCTCGCGATTATGTGCTTATAGTACGATATTGTCTTTCATTCGTTAATGGATCCAGACGGGTGCCAGTCTATCATGAAAATTTTTGCTAGATGGTTAGTGAGCTCTTCGATGTCCAAGATGGTCTCTGTCAAGATAGGCAACTCGGAGACTACTACTGTGAGATGTTTAGCGTTCTCTGTGTTCACCTAGCGTGTCTTCGAAGTTGTCAAACGTGGGGTGTCGTGTCTGTGATGCTTTCGGTACATCGCACAATAATAGTTCACGACAATGAACTCTGTCGTTGCAACCCTCCGCGCGTGGCGCTAGCGCTGTCGCTAATTTCAAAGTGCCACTGGAGGGAGACGATGGTGGGTGGGGGAGACCGGACGAAAAGCCGTGGGGGTGGGGAGGGGGAGAGGGGTAACGGGTGGGGCAGCTGGGTGCATGTTCGGTTCGAATAGGCTTTGCTACGTTTGTGTGCAAGGCCATGCATGCATGTGAGTGCACGGCTCATCGCGTTTCGCAGGCCCGCGATCTTTTCCCCTGCCGCTCACCACACTACCCCCTCTTTTCATGGCCAGCCCTTGCTACTCGCTCAGACATTTGCCGCAAGGTGGCGCTCTCTGTAAATTCCAGGCGGACGTGGAAGCTCGGTCACCCCCTCGCGGAGCGGACCACCAGAGGGCCCGAGCGATGCGTCCGGGAGATGCCGTTCTGAGCGTGCCAGTCGCAAACATATCCTATAGCCTTTGCTCAACTATGTGTGTACGGGCCGTTTTACCTCGACTTTTGCGTTCGCGTCGTTTACTTATACTTATCTCTGTTAACTTATTGTCATCACTTACTTTAATTTTGGGGAGCTGCTATGATTGAGAAGGACACCCGAGTAGCTATTCGACAATGTTCGGACGGATTTCCGCTACCCTGCTTCGTTCTCTCGGATTGCATCGTTTAGGCAGATGTGCGCAGCATGCGCTTAGAATTTCATGCGGGAAATTGCGTGCGGCTGACAAACGGTAACTCCGTAATTTCCTGTGCTGGTCTTTGTGAAGCAGCGCCATCTATACGACAAAATCTCTGCAAACCCAGATGGCACAAAGCTGTTGCTGGTGAAAACCACCGTCATGTTTTCCTGGAGGGGTAATTTCTCACAGGATTGTTTGGTACAGGCAGGCTTACGTTCAAGATCGAACACGTCTTATGATTAAGGCAAGTAGTGCCGGCTGTGGCCACCAGTGTTATGCAGACGAGGTTGGATGGGGGTACGGAATCGGCCGAGGTGTGACGAAGTGGAGCGTAGCAAATGTTGGCGTGGAAGTTTTAGTGGGGCAGGAAGAGTGGTTGGTACCTATTATTTGGGAGGTAGGAGGTGCAAAGTTTTGTGCCCGTGGCAGTCGCGGGCGGGGATGCATAGGAGTATGGAGCGGTCGCCGCAAAGTTGGCAATCAGAACTGGGTTGGGGAAGGTTGGCTACGGGAGAAGCCGACAGAAGGTGTAGGGTAGCAGAAGAACTGGGCTGGAAGCACGCGCCTACGTGTGCGGCGATATTTGTAGTTTCAGGGAGATATATTGTGTTCCAGTTTTTGTACTGTGATTTTAGCTTTTCGTCGTCAGTCGGTTTGTTTTCGGACGAGATCGAGTTTACGCGGTAGAAACAAGTCGACATTGGATTAAAAAAAACTCGCGCTCACTGTGTGAACCTCTCTCGAGTTGTTTCCGTACTATTTACATGGTGCCAATATGAATCTAAAGTGACTTGATCATTCCTGTCGCACACACGTGTGACGTGAGTCCATCTGTCGAAGTGTAGGGGGGGGGGGCACGACGAGCAAGCTAGGGACAGTGAGTGTCAAGATAGGTGGAAGTTAATATACCGTGCCTGTAAATATACTGCCGTAGAATGTGCTAGCATTGAAGTCGAACGGGGTTGACTGAGAACAGAGGCAGCGTATACCTAAGCGTAGACCTAGCTCCAAATAAGCAGATCTGAGAACCTAGAAAAAAAGAAAAAAAGAAGAAGAAGAAAGCGCGCGGTGTTGTAGGTGGTTATTCGGTTTGTGGTGTACTACTTATGAGATTTGGGAACGTCTCTTATGTTATTCGTGATGTGGCATGATACCGAATCGGTGTAGTGAGAAAACACAAATTTGTGCTGTGATATGTAGTGAGATAAACGGGACACGACTAGTTTCAGGCAAGCGTGCGTGCGACTCAGACCATCTCACACGCCGGCACAGGATTTCTGCAGGTGACGGTGCAACGGGCCTTCAGCTCGCGTACACGGCTGTGTACAGTCAGTGAGTAGCTAGCTCTCTCTCTTCTACAAGCGTCAGCTTCTACTACAACTACTACTGCATTTATTAGCGTGATACGGTGTGCCAGAAGTTGTACGTGCTTTTTAGCCGAATGCCGCCGCACTTCTGTCTAAACAGGGTGTTGAAGAGCACGTGCGTGGGTCACTGTTGTGCTGTTGTTAACCGAGCACGTTCGTGGAATATGTGCTGCTTTTTAGGGAGCACATTCGTGGTTCGAGTGCCTTGCCTGTTAACCGAGGCACGGTCTTGGTGAATATGTGTTGCTTTTAAGTTGGGCACACTCGTGAATATGTGGCCTGCTTTGTGAGGGAGCACATTCCGTGCGCTTCATGTGCTGCCTGGGTTAACCCAAGCCACGGTCGTGGCAATATGTGCCTGCTTTTAGGTTGCACACTCGTTGATTTTGTGCTGCTGTAAACAAGGCACCAGCTCGTGGCTTCCGTGGCTCAGAAGATTTGAATGTAGCGGACAGTCTAAACGCGTCACGCGCACGCTCAGCATTGTCCCCGTGCGCCGTTGACTGGTGGGTATTGGTATTGTAATTGATTTCATCTCAGATTATGCTGCGGTGTCTTCATTCTTCGTATTCTTTTATTTACGTTAATTTTTATGGATTAGGTTCAGCTGTTGTTTTTTTGGCTGCGCCTTGCTGAGAAAGAACGAAAATGAATGAAATCATGCGATGCCCTAGTAGGGTGGATTTGATGGCTGATTGTCAAAAATATCAAATCAGCTGATTGATTGATCTGGTACGTGAGACGCGCCTGCAGGCCCGTGCTGTGAGGGCCGGTCGGTGGGCTCGGGAGCGCGTCGCACGGTCCCGAAGCACGGATTCGGGCGTGTTCCCGTGCGAAGATATTTCAAATCGGTGTTTGTCGTGATAAGTCAAGGTGTGTAGTTCGTATGCAGTGACGCGCCGCGCGGCGAGGCGTTGGCCGTGTAGATTTACTGTCGTGGCGATTATCTTTTGCTCACCCGAAACGCGGCAGGTTTTTTCAGATACCTGCGAGCTTTGGGTTTGCCCCAGAAGCTATGGTTGCTGCCTTTACTGTGCTGATGCCAGCAGTATCCAATCGAATAAAGTGGGCCAGTTACACTCGGTCTCTGTATGTACAGTGTGTGACTGTCAGAGGCGCAAGGGGGTTTAGCCCAGTTGTAAAAACCGCCATCTTATTTGCAGTTCAGTGCCCCTTTCAGGGGCCGATAAAAACAGCCATGCAGTTTCAGATGACGGCAGAATCTTCTCGGAGCTGTTCGAAGTCCCCCGCGGGATTTATCAATCGTAGTTCTGGCTGATCGTATCGTGCGAGATCGACCGAGTGACCGAGATCTGAAAGGCATTTTGTGGCCAAGGTTGATATTTGCTTCTGCTACTTTCGTGTGCAGCTCTCTTGCGCCTGTCTGTCTGCTCCCTGTCTGTCTTCTCTAACCACTTTGCCGTTGTCTCTTGCCAGCTTACTCTCAGTGCTGGTTATGCAGAGTGGCTTCCATTGTATGTGCCCAATGCCCTAGATGCGGGAAAATATTGTATCAGACCCAAGGTTCGGTCGTGGATGTGTGAGCGCTTATGTCAGTGTTTAGCGCGTCTTATAACAAAATAGACCAACAGCTGCTTCCCGTTTCACTTCTAAACATTCGTATCATTCCGACATAAAGTATACAAATTTAACATTGCGCACACTTTCAGCTTGCGAAGGTTCGTATTAATATATTCATTCTCCCCTTTCTCACAAATCGTACCATCGGTTTATACTGTCGAGTTTTTTTATAAATAATACTCACGGGCAAAGATATAATACGACTAAATGTAATTGAATTTCATTATTATAACTCCAAACCTTTGATCACAGCATTACAATCACATGGTTCAATCGTTAGTCTAGACCCCAAATATTTTTTTACGAGAAGCAAACCATCCTGACTCTCCCACAGCACATGGTCGTGATTGATTGATTCGTACATGCCACACACGAGCCTACATCTACACACCCACTGATTCCCACCACACCACACCACTGCCATTATTAGTCGTGCGTATTCAAGAAGAGATTGCTACAACTCTCACCATATTAATTCAACTTCACACTTTCACCGACAGTCCTCAATCTGAGTCATGGCCAACAAAACAAAAACCAACAAATAACGTTAGTAACAGAACCGACAGGAGACTTGGGAGTTGAATCTAAATTTGCCGTTCTAACGTTTGCACTTGCGGCCAGAGACAGGCCCAGACCCGCCCCTCAGGCAACAAGGTCGCCATCCCTATACTAATTATAAGTGACAAATATATAGCAAAACCGGCGACACGCAATGGCGCGAACGGCACGTTAAACGTTAACGACGTCGCCGACGCACTGATATCAACGTCCACTCTCACGCACAGCCTGCTTGCGTAGCTGAATGTACGACGAACTCCTACATGATGATTGATTACGATGGTGCGTGACGATTGATGCTGTATGATTGATGGATGCTGATGATGATGACGATGGTGACGACGACAACGATGATGCTGATGATGATGACGATGGTGACGACGACAATGATGATGCTGATGATGACGACGACGACAATGATGATGCTGATGATGACGACGACGACGACGAAGACGATGACTATGATTCTGCTGATGATTACAACGAGCACGACGCCTCGGTAAGACAACCGACTCATGCACGCCTGCGCTCGTAGCCGCTTGCGTATCCGTATCCGTGGAAACGACCTAGGCCATCGGCTTCTTGTACTTGCCCCAGCCGTGAAAGCACTTGGTGAACTTGCGGCTCTCCTTCGTCTTGAGCGTGAGCAGCAGCTTGCGCGGCCGGTCGCGCTGCTTCACGCGCATATTCTGCACGTAGACCTGCGCGAAACGCCGACGCATGCTTAATTATTAATTATTAATTAAATAATTATTCATTAATATGCGCGGTTAATAATCACCCGGTGCGGATGCCTGCCCTCGCCGTACCCCCACACGCCGAATGGCGGGATTATCGCACGTCAAACCGGCCATGGCGTGCAGTTTTACAAAGAAATCGATGTGAAACTGCACACGTGTGTACTCGAGACCCCGGAAAATTTTCCGTTGTTTCGCAAACTGCCCAGCGCAATCGGAAGCGATGCTCTCCTCTTATCATTTTTTCTCACCGCACAAGAAATGAGGGAAACCGTCTGTAGGTAATGAAACTAACTTCGAGAACAATGCCACTCTCCCAAACACGCCTGCAGTGCCCCTCCCCCA